CCACACACACACACAGAGGTTATTACAAGAGAGTATCAAACGCAATAAAAGGGTAGATAACGGGTGACAGATGTTTTGTAGGAAAGAAGGAGCAAACCACACCAGAGCGCCCGCCAACCACCCGCCGATATGTGTTTGATAGAAAACAAGGAGAAAACCACACTAGATCACCCGCCAACCACCCTTTAAAGCTTGTTTGTTAGAGTAAAGAGAAGCACATCGACACAATAACAAAAGTCATCTTCTGCTTGAGAAGAGCAAGACATGCAGAATTTTTTTTTTTTTATTAAAAAGAGGGAAAGAAAAGAGGTAGGACCTAACAGTGGCGTCTTCCAATCAAGCACCCGCAGGCTTGAGTTTCCAACAATCCCCAAACTGATCACTGACAACAAACCACCTGCGTTTGAAACAATTATGAAAAAAAAAACATGAAAGAAGTTGACTTAGTCGTTCTCTCCCTCTCTCTCTCTCTCTCCCTCTCTCCCTCTATCTCTCTCTATCTATCTCTCTCTTTATCTCTCTCCCTTCAACTATCCACACACACACACACACACACACACACAGGACAGAAAATAGGGTGGGTTGGAGTTGTTGGTTTCCCCCCCCCCTTTTTTTTTTGGGGGGGGGGGTAGTAAGAGTAGAGTTTAATGGCACTTGCAACATAATTAGGTCATAATAAGTGGCGAAGATAAGAGGTGTTCCACCAGAAACAAACACGAAAAGGGAGAGACGCGTATGATACATGCTTTGATGGGAAAGAAGACGGCGTCGAGATTTCACAACAACAATACGCGAGACTGTATCACGGAATTACAACCCACAAGCTGGGGAAGCAGCAAATACTTTTACAGTTTTAATGTAATAATAGTATTACGGCACTAGCGACACAAACAGGCCAAATAAGTGCTGAATATTAGAGATGTTACAGGGAGACTGATGTACAATGAAAAGGAGAAAGGATAAGGACAATATAATTTTTTGTTAGATAGGTAAGAAGGAGACAATCCACAACACAGCACCGGAAAATACTTGGATGTGTGTAGGCGCGCGCCTGTGTGTGTGTGTGTGTGTGTGTGTGTGTGTGTGTGTGTG